TCAAGCAGATTGAAGAGGTATGTGTCAGCCTATGCTGAACCAAAGTGGGGATGAGAGTTGGGTTGGAAGAAGGGTCACAGCTCTATGGTTTCCATTGTAAGAATTACCTAGAGAAGGGCTGTGGAGCAACAGTGGTTGCTGTTCTGTCCCTGTTTAAGAATGAGACACTGAGGAGGGGTCACACTGTGTTCCTTGATGTTGCTGAAGGAATGAGGACTGTGGATATTTAATTGTTGGCCTACAGTCGTGTTTGCTCTTGATGCTTATGGATATTAGTTTTCTGTGGACTTCACATGAAAACAACTGGGTAGAATGTAGCAATGTTGACACAATGCTTAATAGACAACTGTAGCTTCTGCCCAGTTATCTGCCCCTGCTTGTTTTGTGAATTTTTGTGGGACAGCCTGTGCATCCTGCAGTTTCAAATCACCGAAGAAAAATCTGTGATTGTGAATTTACCAAGCTTACTTTTTGTTCCTTTTTCTGCTTCAACTCGTATACCTCATGGTTACTGAAAGGGAAGTAGTGATTTACACCCCTTCTTCTACACAAAATTTCTGAATGGAATATTTTATTGAAGAAACCATATACATTTGAATTGCTCTTGAATTTAAAAAAACCCACAAAACAACAAACAAATGCAAGAGTTATAGAAGTTTGATTTATGATTTGGGAAGGCTGAAAAAGGCTTCATGAAGGCCTGCCTACACTGAGGTTATATGCAGAAATAAGGTTCATACTTGAAATACAGTTAGCTGGTGCTCTGTACAATTGTCACTTTTGGTTACCGTATATGTGTTGTGGAAAATTCTACACAGTTATTCAGCAGTGCTGCAATGAAATAGATATACTGATGTCATTCTATTTTCAGCCATTAACAAGTTACTGGACAAACTGCAAGTGAATAGAAACTTGATTTCTATCCGCATACTTGGTCCTCTGGATCATGTGCCTTCCCATTACTAATAAAGATAATACCACTGATTTGAAGACATAGCAGACATATTTAAAATCCAAGATAAATTGAGCACATTTACTGCCTTACAAGCAGTTGCTAAATTCTAAGTAACTAAGTCTTGCTGTGTAACTGCATTGCACTCAAGGGAACAATTTAGGTTTTGAATTGTATATGTCGGTAAGTGAAAACTATGTAGACATTGATTATTTTTTCCCCTTGACCTAATCACTGTTTGCCTATGGCAATATCTGATATGTTACGTGTTCACCAAGAATTGTCTTGGGACCGCAATGAGGCTTTTTTTTTTAGCTTCATTAGTAATCATAGTTGCATTAGGACTAGAAGGCAGTGCAGTAATACACTTGTACTGTACTACCGGTTTTTTCTATTTATTGTAAATGTGGAAGTGAACTCTGTAGGTGGGAGTCTGAACTTGTATAGACAGAGGAGACCAGATTTGAATCTTTGTGCGTTTTCAGCGAGAATTTAATTTTAAAAAAGCAGGCCAAATGCCTATTAAGATTAATTTTTTGTGTGTTGTGAAAAAATCCTTTATTTGTTTCTCTTTAACTATTTGTAGTCTAATGATAGAACTTTTCTTGGTAATACTGGAGAATATGGAAATGATGCTGAGTAAAATAAAATTTAGTAATGTGTTTTTCATTGTCTGAATTGAACAAACTGCCAAAAGGAAACGACATAAATAGTGAGAATGTTTCCTCTTCTCCCCCACCCTGGGAATCTGATGTGTATCACCCTTTAGACAAAAATTAAAAATTCCACAGAGTACCTTAAGAAATGTGTTTCACTTTTGACATACTGTTGATTCTTTCAAATGGTAATTTTGTTTGTGTGCTAAAATACTTGTTTGTAGTGTAAGGGATTATGCAAAAAAGTGTAAAAAATTGAATTTTTAACTTCTACCTGGAGGTCATGTAACTAGACACATGGACTCTCTGCTTGTTCAATAAAGTGTTAGCAATTAAAAAATTCCCACATGAATACTTGAATATTTGCATGCATAAGAGGCCAAACTGTGGCTTACCTAAATACAGACTTGCAGTTTAGCGTTTCTGGAAACTAATTCTAGCACAAAACACCTTTTCCTCCATTGGCTTTGTCTACCATGTGCATTTTTTCCAGCTATGCAGCTGACAGCTGAGTAGTTTTAATTTTAGCTTAGAGCATTCATTTTGCATTATCTTTTAATATAAGCACTTATATTATGCTCTGTTTTTTAAAATATACATGATGGAATATTGCCATTTTTCCTCCTGAACAGCAGTGACTTATATGAAAGTGGGCTTAGATGCTGCATGTGGAGGTGTGTGCTGTTGTTGCAGTGAGAGTAGTTCTTACCTTGTAAGATCCAATAACTGGAAATGGGTGCATAGAGAGATTGCCATACCATGGAAGTGTGATGAGACAATATTGCTTTGAAAAGATAGTTATCAAGAAATAGGGTGATGCTTTTGATGTTTGTATCCACATGAGGGAGACAGTGTGACAGGCTTATTTGCCTTAATTGGTGGCAAAACTTGCCAACCTTAAGCACAGTTGGAGAAATCACTGAGTGCACTAGCTGTCTGTAACACTACCAACTCCTGCTATTAACTGGTATGCCTATACAGATTTAATTTTCCCCTCCTTAGATATAAATGAGATCGAGGTTTCTGAATTGTAACTGGAACCATCCAACACATCTTCTGAGCTTTTTCTTTAAAACAAACAAAACCTTAGTGTGGTCATGGCTTTCTCTCTAATCTTTTGGACTTCTGCCCTAAAACGTAAAATAATATCTTAGTCTGTAGAAAACACTGACTCTTAACTCAGCATTTTGTTGCTCAGCCTTTATGGAAATGTTACTGAAGGTGGCCAACAGAGTCAGTTAGCTTTAAATGAAAGTCGCTTAGAACAGCTGACTTCAATATTGTAGATGTCTCTTTATTAGTTTGAAAATAATAAGCTACAAATAATTATTTAGAGTCATACACTGCTAGAAAGCTCTGTAGTGACAAGAGGCTTTTCTCAAAAGCCAACCACTTTTGTTCAGGGTGGCTCCTAGAGGATCTGGAACCTTGTCTGAAGATGCCTAACATTACCCATAGGTAGCATTAATTAGCAAAAAGGTTGGAACATACAACATTTTTGTGTGTTGTGTTTGACCATATTCTGAAGAATCGATTAGCAGGCAGACTCACTGTCGCTTTAGAAATTTATATGGACCAGTTGTGATTAAGTCACTTACAGCAACATCCCATATTTAATTACTCATTGGTATTATTGTCTGCTTTTCAACCTTTTAGGGACTTAATTACAATTAGCTAATATGTTCCTAAAGATGACTTTTGTGGTTTAGCTAAAACCATGGCCAGTAAACTGTTTCCTGATTTTTTTTTTTTTTTTATTTGCTATGATTGGGTTTGGTAGATGAGGGGAAACAAAACAATCTCTAAATTATTTCTGGTAACTAAGATGAACGATCTGTTTTTGTAAATTTATACATTTTTGTTTCAAAGGTGAAGCAACATAAATATTTAAGCAACTTTATTCTTTCAGAGTTGACTTGGGATCTTTTGCTTTGCTTAAGCATGAAACAGATCAACTGCCTTTTGTCCTGATCTTTTACACAAATAATCATGCTGCTCCCAAATAAAATGAAACTTTAAATTGTTTGAATACAACTGAAAACATTGTAACTTTTTTGCTTGTTTGTTGTTTGAAGTAGTTGGAAGAATACTGTGGGACAACTCTTTAATATGCTTTTATCAGGTTTTTAACTGTTCATCAGAAGTGTTCAAAAAATAATACCAAGCACATCTAAATATGTGGTAAAGAAGGAATACACTGTAGTTTACCCCAAATTCATGGTCTGGAGGCACTGCTTTCTTGAGATTATCATGGTCTCAATCTCTAATTTTAAAAAAAAATTCTTTACATTTTCACATTTATTTAATATAATTCTATTAAATCTACATTTCAAGAATTTAATGTTTCTTTGTGCTCAGAATAGATATTTAGTCACTGTCTCTTCCTTCCCCTTAACCAAGAGTTAAAAATAAACCTATAAAACAATGGCAGTATGAAACAACTCACTGGCAGTAATCAAACTGGAAGCATGTGCTGAACCAGAGGAACTCTGCTGTGGTGTGCACACACTTTAGAAGTAGCTGTTGGAAAATTTAAAAATGAAAAAATGTGTATGCAATCTTTTCAGGAGAAATCTTCCTGTGAGTAATAAAAGCACCTTCCTTTGACAGACAAGAGACTATGGAAACTTTGGTCTTGCATTAGGGGATAATACTAGCTTCCTTAAAACAAAATTTCAAAGCTGAGTTTTCTCAAATTCTGCATTTTTGCCCACTTTTTCTCCTTCCCCTCCTCCAGTCTGTCTTTGATATTCACTCCTGGCCCAAACTTGTATACAGCATTATTATAGCCTCATGTTATAAAACTGAAAATTTTAAAATGAAAATAATGATTTGCGATAAAAAGCCTGACAGACTAATTATAGTATTGCAATAATTATTATCTTATTTCAGCTCTGTTCCTCTCACAGCTGATTCAGATCTGGGTTTTGGTGTTTTTTAATCCCTATTGACACTGTAATTTTGAGAGAGAGAATATACTGGGGAACAACATATATAAAATCAAGAAATAAAAATTGTCAGATAAATAGTTGTTTTCTAAAATGTTGCGTTGGACATGTTAGTAATAGAATGCAAGTAGTTCTGTTTAAATGTGATGGTTTGTGGATTTTCTGGTGAGTGTATCACCTATATACTATATAATACAACTCTCGAAATCTTCCATTTCTGGATATCTTTATAGCATGTACTAAATAGCAGTCATTACTTCAGACATTTGTGCATTGTGCAGCTAAGTTGGTACACCATTGATGCATTTTATGTTCTGAGTTTAATTTTTTTCCCAGAATGTGTGCAATTCTTACAATGATTAAGGTATAGATTGATGTCAGTGCTACAGTATAGCTTCAAGACTGCAATTTGAAGCTATTTTAGAAAAATACAATTCTTTAGACATGGTGAAGCTGGAGTTGAATGGAAGTCCTATTAGTGGTGAATTACATGTAAATATTAATAAGGGAAGAGTTCATAGCAAGTCCTGAGTTTGGGAAATTGAGCATGATAATTTGCTGAAATTGTGTGTGTCTTGAAGTTATGCAGATGCCATAATTTTCAGTTTTTATTTGAACTTTTAAATGCTGTAAAAGGTGCCCGAGTTACTTTTTAAGCAAGAAAGTGGAAGTTTTGGCAAATATCATTGTAATGGATGTATGGTAATGATAATGAAGGAAGTTCAGATGAAAGATGAATTGGACTGAATGACTGTTCAATCATTTAGGCTAGGCTAGTTGCGTGGTTTGGTTGTTAGACATGTCAAATTATGTTGCCTTATTTTCTGCACTTGGTTGGCTCTCTTCACATCTCTTCACAAAGTTCTGGGAATTAGTTTCTGACAGTTTGCTTTGTTTTCCTTTTTCAGGATGCTTCCTCTGCAGACATTCGGAAAGCATATCGAAAGCTTTCACTAATTTTACACCCAGACAAGAATAAAGATGAAAATGCAGAAACACAGTTTAGGCAAGTAAGTGCAATGTGTGGCAATAAAAGTTTTGGAGAAAATAGAAGCAGAGCTTTTTATGATGATGTCGTTTTAGTAAGAACGATGGTACACCTTTGAAATGGCTAAGTTAAATTACTTAAGTTAAATGACTGAATTAGTTTTTTGATGTAGTTAGATTAAAAATAAGTACACTTCTTCAGAATTAACTTGTTGAATAACTCAGATTTAGTATTTACCTATATATTAAAAATTCATTGAATGTAATACTTAGACTTACGGTCTTAGGAGGAAAATGTGTTTTGCACTTTATGTAAGACTGTTTATAAATAGTCTTTTCAAAGGCAGTAGGGAAAATTTCTGCTCAGTTCTGAATGCAAGTCATATGTAGGCATAATTTGATGAAAATAATTTTTTAGTGTTTGAGTTTTCACCTTTTGAATTGTTACAGAGTGAAAGCACCAGACTCTTGTAATTAGCTCTGCCTTTAAAAATATACTTCTAATGACTATAATACAAGCTACTTAACTTCAGTAAGATCTGTAGGATGAAACAGATGATACTTTTTATTTTTAAGGTGTAACTGAGACAAGACTCAAGTTGACAGATGTGAGGAGAAACAAAAAAAAAAATCTTCTACAGAGTTGCTTGTTTGTGTATCTGATGACACTTTGTACATGAGTATGTCACTGCTTCTTTTGCATATTGAGTTTGCTTCTTAGTGTTGTAGGGAGAAGTGAAAACTAGCAAATGTCATTAGTTGGCAAATGTAAAATATGATGCTGCTATTCAAACTTTATAAACTCAGTCCTAAAGTAAACTCTGTGTGTTGTTTTTCTTTTCTTGTTTTAGTTGGTGGCCATCTATGAGGTTTTAAAGGATGAAGAAAGGAGGCATAGGTGAGTTAATTTGCACAGGTTCTTAAATAAAGCATTCATGCCAGTGATACATTGAAGTTCTGTTTGACATAATTGTAACTCTTTAGATGATTTTTTGCATAATTTGTTTGTAATTCCTATGTAGCTGTTTAAAGATTGTATGTGGCTTAAAGGGTAAGCTGGTGTGTATTTTTTTGTGTGATATACTGGTTATTCTCCTTTAAAACTGGTATTTGAAAGAACTTTAAAAGCTAACTGTTATTTGGAGCAGTTTTTTTAACACTTAACAATTATATCACTTGGTTTAGTTGTGTTAATTATCATTGTTTTATTAAAGCTGTGGTTGAAAATACAGGCCACTCATTCAACTGTCAGTTGTATCTCACAACAAACCTTTTATTGATATAGTATGATATTTAGGGATTATTTCCAGTGTATGTCACCTTCGTTGTTTTCTGTTGCTTAGTTTATTGTTTTTCCTTTCAGATGTGTTATCTATAATACTGTAAACTTTCATATACACAACATAATTTTAAAAAAAAAACGAAAACAAAACAACCCAAAACCAAACTAGTAGTCCTTCCTACTTCAGGAGGAGGTCCAGCAGTACCTGAAGGGGATAGGATTAAGAACTGAAAACATGGGGCTGATCTGCTTTCTAGAAGACTATTTTGAATGTTTTTTCTTTTAAGCGGATGATCATTTAAACTAATGATTATCAGGGAAACTGGGAAGCTGAAAGAGTTTTGCTTTGGGGTTGGAGTTTTAGTAAATCATCTTTCAATTTACAGGTCTTTAAATAGGTCTTCGTGAGACATTTCTTGAAGGTTTTTTAGCTTTGTGGATGTCTTGGCAGCAGTCCAGGTTTTATTGTACAGATTATCTAATTTTTGATAATCCTCTCTTGAAGTGTCGTGAAAGTGTACTTCATAGAATTACTTTTGGAAACTTGTGGTGTTGTTTTTTTTTTTTTTTCATTTCACCTCTCACAAGAGAATTTCATTGTGAAGTTCTACTCCAGGGAAGTTTGGAGAAAAAAAAAATGTTAGTTAAGTGGTTTCAGACCACTTGAAAAGTGAGTTATCCGCAAAATTTTCCTGCCTTTTTGTTTATAACATTGTTTACATATGCTTTGTGATACTGCCTCTCTGGAACTTAGTTCCAATATGGAACTTCTAGGAATTTCTTTGCAGCTGTAATAACAGCTTTTTTGCATGGAACTGTGATGCAGTAGTTCGTAAAAATCATTGTGAATGTGACTAACTTACCCAACTTGTTTGTGAGAATATTGTTAATTAGTGCAGCACAGTGATTACAAATGAGAAGTTAAAGCAGCAGTAGATTGTTCTGGCTTAGATTGATTTCACTGTTGATAACTTGTTTTGTACATGGACAATGTTGTATTTTTCTTGCACAGTGTGGATGTATGGTTGATATTGTTTCTATAGTCAATAAAATATAAATGAATTGGATTAAATAGTGTTTACCTTCAGAGAATTTTCTGGAAGTAATATGCAGAATTTAGAAATAATGTGTAGAGTAGCAGAGCTATATGGTCTCATTGCTTTGAGAAAACCTTTATTGATCAGATTTATTACACAGTCTAATGATAAACTCTCAGTTGAGCTTGTAAATGGAGGGTGTATTGTGTAAAGGATTGTTGTAGCATGTCTTTAAAACAAGTCTTAAGTAACTGTGCTTAGAAGCTGTTCCACCTGTAATAATATTGTTTCTGTTGTAAGGTAACTCATGGGTTTCTTGCAACCGTACAGCAAAGGAAAGGGGAGGAGTTGTTGCTTTTTGGCATCTTCCTGCTTTAGGTGTTGATATTTGGCTATGCATTGTGTGAGGTGATGCCTGGTCACTGTCATGCCTGTGCACTGGGGGGAAAAACTATGCTGCACCCTTTATCTCTCAGGACTTGTCAACTAGGTTTTATCCTCATTCCAGAGTCACTTATTTGGGTCTACTGTAACAAAACTTTCTGCCAGATATCTTCCCACCCTCTCCCCTGCAATCCCTTGGCAGTGTCGTAGTTTTTTTATTTCTGAAGTAACTCAAAGGCCTGATGGGATGAGATGCAAATTTCTTACAAATTAGTTGATGAGGAATTCTGGCAGTTTAGCGGGGAGTCCCTTCACAACTGGACACCTAAATGGTTTGGGGCATGGGATTACACCACCTTGAGAAGAGTGAGCTGCAGGCTTCTGCTTCTGTACAGTGAAGTCAGCCATACCTGCCTCTTCCTATTCATCTCCAGAGTGATGTAATCCAGCATTGGTCCTGGTGGGCGTACAGAGTGGAACCCATAAAGGCAGAAAATAAAGTCCTGTACTGTATAAGTGAGTGATTAACTCATTTTGAAACAATAAAACTGGATCTAATTACACCCTTCCTCCAGGTTGTGGTGAATGTCAGAGGTGTTAATTGTTTGTGTGTGTGTACAGAGGCAGCATTCTAAAAAGGCAGATCTGTTGGTCAACTATATGTAATCATTTTTCTAAAACCTTTGTATTTTCATATTTATCAGTGAATTTTAATTTTATCTGATGGCAGAAGCCTTTCTTAAAATATTACAGTTTCTCTACTGACAATTATAATACAGGGCTTTATAATTAAAATTTGGTTTGCTTTTTTGAGAAAGTTACATAGTTGCTTGTGAAGTATATTAATGTTAGTAGTAGTGCTACAGAATATAGCAATATTACCATGTTAGTACTTTCTCTTACATACTTTGATACATAATCAAAACATTCTAGTATGCTAACATTAAATGTGCATACAGGATTGTTTAATGTAACAATGTTTAACATTAAACGTACATGCAGCAGAACATAGTATTTTGTTTTGCATACACACTGCAGAGTGTGTGAAATTCTACAGAGAAGTTTATCTTTAGGGTATGTAGAGATAGGTGCATTTCCTGAAATACACTTTACTTTAGGGCATTTATTGGTAAAACAACTTGACAATGATAAATTTTATTAGCCTTTAATTGTTTTTAATTAGTAGATAGTTCTACACACTTCTATTAATTGTAATTAGGCAAAAATCTTAGATTTTTAATCTTTAGATTGTTACCGTTTTAAGGAGCTTTTTTTTTTACCTACCAGGCCTATCCTCTGTAACAATGTGGGCTTGATTACAGGAAGCATTTGCAAAGGAATCAAGATATACTTGTTTAAAGTAAGAAAGGTGTTTATCTTGCCTCTCATTATAATTAAATATCTGTATTCATAGGTATAAATTGTTCTGGCTGATGTTGCACTGGATGTCTTTGACAGCTTGAGGGAAAAAGGCCCCCAAAATAAAAAATGCCAGTGCAGTCTTCCCATAGTTCAGAATAGGTCTCATTAATTCAAGGTTATAGTATATAAAATCTATCAGATCTCTGAAATTATTTGAAATATGAAATGTAGTGGCTCTCTTAAATGGAAAAGTAAATTACGTTAAAATAGATGATATTGTAATTAGCACTAGAGTTAATGGAAATTTTTTTCTTGCAGTGTAATTGATTTTTGCAAAGAGCTCTAAAAACTATTTCATGAAACTTTATAGAAGAATGAAATTTTAATGATCTTGCGATTTGTTATTTGTTTAGTACAAGACTAAGAAGTCTTGTATAGAATCCTGAGTTTTAAATGAAGATTCAACTTAAGTTATAAATGGGGATTTTTTGTTTTGTTTTTCTGTTTCTGTATTGGTGCTTTGGGGTTTTTGTAGCTTGCTGACTGCTACATTTCAGAGACAACTGAAGACAACAGGCGTACTCATATGTCAAAGACTTGCTGCATTCTGTGTACATATGTCTGAGGAAAAAATACTGTAGATGTATTTTTCCTTTTCAGCTTGTTTTTTTTTTTCTTACATAGAGTAATAATTAATATAGGTTGCCAGAAGAAGAATGCTTTGTAAATAAATTTTGAATGTAGTTCTCGACGCACATGGATTAACTAACTATCTTTCATGGTTTATACAGGTTTCTATAAAGAAATTCTTTAATGAGAAACTTGCTTCTAATTAAACCACATCCTGAATTTGGAGACCAAGATTTAAAAATTATGGGAAGCTTCTGAGTTTCAGTAGGATCATTTTCCAGTTAAAATCCTAAAAATCATTGATATCTTTATTTTTCAAATACAGAGCTTAATTACTATTGAAAGCAGTGATTTATCTTTTAACAGTATATATTCTAAAAAGTGGGTTATAATAGAAGCTATCTTCCCTTAAAATGGCCAGTCGTGTGAGCCATAATGCTCATTGATAGTAAAATCAATAGAGCATTGATTCTGAGACTTAATCCTTGGAGACTGTTGTTCAGAACAGCGGACATAGCCTAGTAAATAGAGAGTGCTGTTTAAAGTGTTTAATCCAAGAGACTCTGCTGTCTTAATTTATTTTTTTCTTAACAGATAGTTTATAATATAACGTGGTTGCCAAATGTTAGTTTGCAATCTTGTTTTACGTATTACTATATTGTACCATTAGCATACATGGACCTTATTTAATCAGTAGCCACGTTTTAAGTACGTCAGTTAACAAGCCTTAGTGTATGAGAGAGGCAAATGCGTAATAAATTTATAGTAGTATTAAAAAAAAATTTCATGATTCCACATATAGTTCTCTGAAGCTTTCATAGGAAGAGCATCTTTTGTGAAATCTTGTTATCAACCTAATTTATTTTAAAAATGGTTTTGTTTCTAAAATATTTTCTTGTATTCTAACAAGAAAATGTTTAGCAAATGCATTATTATTTTTCAAATGCTAAGACTTCTACTTAATTCTTAAACAAAAAGTTAAGTAGAAGTTTTAGTTTTGAAATAACATCCTAAGCAGTTTTTCTGAACAGAGTTTGTGTTAAGACATCACTAGTTAATTCATTCTGACTTACTGGGAAAGAAAGAATGTATTACTTCAAATTTTACAATAATGGATATTAATCTTGGTATTCTCATAATTGTCATGGAAGGTAGAATTTCGTAATATTAATTTTACTTCTGGTAGCATTCAGAACACTGCAGAATCCTGAGGTGTTAAATCTTTGCATAGAAATAACAGTGCCAACTTGAACAAATGTTTTATCAGAGATCAGCTCTTCTAGATGTGTTGAATTAAAGTATATTTTTTTAACTGAAAACCATTGCCTCTTTTTCTGCTTAAAAAAATGAATTTACTTGTGGAAATTTTTTTTAGTACATCTCCAAGGTATCAATTTAATAACTATCAAAGTAGCTAGTGCAGTTGTTGCATTTAAATTGATTTACATGTCAAGACTGGCAGTTTAGCAGCTGCGCTATTATTCCTGGATCGGTCAATTTACTTGAGAAAAACCTACTACTGAGTTCTACTGACCTGCATGACAATATAGGCCCTATTTCTATTCCTGTAATTAGGCCTGCGAGTAACTCAGAATATTTTTAATTAAAATATTTTGGTCAATGTGTTGCACCAAATTAGGCCTTTCAGTGCAGATTTAATTCTGGAAATGGTGTGATTAGAATATGTAATGAGTTGTGTTCAATTTAAGATTAACAGGTTGTGCATCTTGAACATACAGGTTTTTGAGTTTACTGTAGAGATTTTTGTTTGAAACTTTTACTCTGAAAAGTTAGCAAATAGAAAAATCTGGTTTGCGTGTCTGTGGTCTGTTTATTTTCAAATTGATGATAACATGCTATAAATAAAAGACCCCAGACATACTAGGATATTTCAAGACATTTGTGTGAAGAAAAACTGACAAATTGTCATAAAATGGTTTCTGCGCAGTCAGTAGTGTTAGTAAAATTAAACAATTTTAAAATAGATTGATTTTTGGAGACAGCTTTTCAAATAGAATATCAAAATAGTCTAGCTGTGGTGAACTTTGTTTTCTAACATCAAAATCAAGCCTTTAACTTAAATTCATATCTGACGGAGAATGGATGTTAAGCCTGGCGGCATTTTACCTAATGGATATCATGCTAGTGAAGGACAAAACAAAAGCAAAGATACCTCTCCTCTTGCCCCAACACTTGTGTTTTTTCTTCTTAATGACAAAAAGTTTTCTAGTGTTTGAGACTTTTGTCCTTTGCTACCTATTTAGTAGTTTGTGGTTTGTTATTTACTTCTATCATGGAGACCTGCCCACTGATTACTAGGCAGGTAGAACACATCTACATTTCTGGAAGTGTGCTATTTCAGAACTGAATGAACTGGGGTGGGGGATGTGTGTGTGTTACAGGAGCAATCAAATTACTTTTTTAAATTTTTTTTTTATTGCAAAAGACTAGATACCTTTCCCCAGCATTTGGTTCTGGATTCTGTTTGTTTCCAGATGCAAGCCTAGCAGCGGACAAAACAAGGCATTGCTATATTAAAAAAAAAATAAAATAAAAAATTACTAAATGATCTTCTCTGTGTATATTATTATTCAAGTGGTCTGTGGATTATCATTTGTTTGTTTTATGATTAGATGGTTTGGCTTATTTCATTTTAACTCTCTTTGAAAGCCTGTTATATTTGCTACTGTAGGTATGATGATATTCTGATCAATGGACTACCAGATTGGCGACAGCCTGTATTCTACTACAGGCGGGTGAGAAAAATGAGCAATGCTGAGCTGGCATTACTCTTGTTCATTATACTCACAGTGGGTCATTATGCTGTGGTTTGGTCAATCTACCTGGAAAAACAGCTGGTAAGTATTGGTAATAAATGAGACTTGCTTCAATTATTAGTATTGAATTTCCTGGAGAAGTTTGCGTGTTACAGGGATCTCTACCACTTCTCCTGTTTTGAATTTGGATTTTTCATATTTTAAAAGGATTATATTCAAAATGGTGATCATTATAGAATGACATATTCAACATACCAGAAATAGTAGTCTAAAAACTACTTAATTTTTCTAGAGTCGGTAATAAATAGCAAGATACGGATCTTTGGTTTTTAACTGGAAGGAGGAAGAGGAATAAAAACTCTTCTATCATTTATTTTTGCAGAATCATATGCTACTGTAGTTGTGTCTGTGGTTTTCCTAAATGATGTTTAAAAATAATCAGTTTTTATTCATTTAAAAGTCATACTTACTTTGCCTTTGTTCTTAGCTAAATGCTTTTTTGGTTTTGGTTTTTGTTAACAAGATAGGCATTGGTAAGCAGTATAAACATCATTTTTTTTAATTTTTTTTTTTGGTCATATAAAAGTCTATTGCACTTAGACTGGAAGAAACCTAAGCATAACTTGAAAAATATTCATACATTAGCATCTATTTACTTTTTTTATTTTCCACTGCATTATTGAAGTTGATGAATGAGAAAGGAGGCAAGTTGAATGCTTTCTCCTCTTAGAAAACTTTGATTGCTATGGAGATACACATGAGTGACAGAACTGGACTTCATGTGTGTTTAAAGACTGGATACCATGGCAACAGTTATTGTTAAGATAGATCATTTTACTTAATCATGTAGGACCCCTAGATACATTTGCATAAATGCTACTCTACTGTTTACCCTTCACAGAAGAGTCCCAGTAACATTTGTGGTTTACATGTTAATGATAACCTGTAACTGTAGTTCTTTCTACATCAAGGATGAACTGCTTAGCAGAAAAAAGAGGGAGAAGAAGAAAAAAACAGGTGGCAGGAGTACTGATGAAGCCAAACTTGCTGCTGTAGACAAAAATGAAAGGTGGGAAGGAACTCTCTTGTTTTCTGCATTTTAAAACATTTTGCCAGCTACTGGTTTAGTTCCATGTTTTTCTCCTTGCATCTTTGAAACGTTTTATGAGAAAAAGAACTCTATTTGTAGTAATAGCCATTGCCGATATAAAGTGTGCCAGTGTAGATGCGTTTTCAGGTTTTCATTTGTAAATAACTGTGTGGTGTTTATTCAGCAGATCAACAATAATTTAAAGATTAAGGCTGAATTAATGATATCTGACTTATAGAAGAGTATTATTTCTACAAGTTGATTTTAGAAGATTTTACAACTTTTCCTGTCTTTGAAGATTTTTGCCTTTGATTACAATTAACAAATTTCAATTTATTTAAGCTGTAGTTTATTACCATACCAAGCAAGGAGTTTTTATGGGGTTTTTAATGCATGTCTAATTTAATGCTTTTTATCTGACCAACTTAAAAACAAGCGTGTTGGTAAAGGATTCTAACACCATTGTTTGTTAAGAAACACATAGGGAAATGGTGACTTTCAGGACACTCCGAAAGATACCACCATTTCTTCTATTGATTCATAGAAAGAAATAAAGGGTTTAAATAGTTCACACAGCAGGGGCATGAACTGGATCAATGCAGGATGGAGATCAGAGACCATTCTGCCTGTCGTCTTTCCTGATGACATCAGTGAGTAATGCTCCAGTGAACTGCAAATGACATTAATTTTTATGTATTGTTTTGTTTATGCTACAGTCTTCATATCTGGTTGTCAGCACTTGTGAACACTTGGTTGAGGCTTTAGGTTTTTAGGGTTGGTTTTGTTTTTTTTTTAAACTGAAGTGATTATGTGGCTTACAAATTTATTTTCTTGAAGAAAAGCCCTTTTTAAGAGATTAAAATACAGAGATGATTAGAAGTTAACTGTTACATATTTTGAATTAAATATTCAAAATACATCTTTAATATTATGTAGTTACACATTTTTATAGGAGTTGACAAGTGCTAATCATCTTGAAGGATAATGGGAAAGTTCTGTCTTGGAGATTGTGTGGCAGCGATGAAAAACTTACAATTTTATTTGACTGCAGAGTACTGGACAAACCACAATGGCATGACTTACTTCCATGCAAGCTGGGAATATGGTTCTGTCTCACTGTGAAAGCTTTACCTCAGCTATTCCAGGTAATAGTAATGATTTTAAGTTATATTACTTTATTTTTCTTGATGGTGTTATTATGCATAATCAGATATGTAGCACTTGTTCCTGTGAATTTTTTGGCTCAAGCGCATACCATATATATATATAAAAAAATTACTCTTTGGAGGCAAATTTAATATTGTAAGTTCATCAAAATATGAATGTATTTTAAATGGATATTAATCTTAACATGCTAGGGAATTCAGCAGCGGTTCTTGTTAGGCAAAACTACAAGAATGAATGATGGGAGAGGGGTGATACACAATTAGATATACATCTAATTAGGAATAGCGATGTCTTCCAAGCGATCTCTTAACAAAAGTGTGTTTATCTCGGAGGCAAATGCTACACTTTCATAGCAGATATTAATATGTCATTTAAATTTGGGGGAATAGTGAAATTACTTTTTCTGACTGAGTGAGGGTTTGTGGTTGGTTTTTTTTTTCTGTTTTTTTTAAGGCACTGGATAATGATGTAAATTGATATAAATTGATACCTGAAATTACTAAGGTAAAGTAACAAAGGTATGGTTCTAATTTGTAAACATAAATGTGGCAGACTTGCCCACAGTTGTGTTTTTTTCATCTGATACTATAAACTCTAAAATTTAGCTGATATTCAGCCTGTGTAAGTATTGTCAGATCAGTTATAGATTAACTATTTTAATATCGCATGCTCTTTCATTTCCCTTGAATACACCCATTTGTTTTTAATAACCTTGTCACTGCTAATGAATATGGATCAGGGAATGCAAGGTGGATTTTACTTTGGGTTACAGAAATATTGAGTATTCTGAAATATAAATAGTTTAAATGGCATCAGTGTCCAATTTCTGTCTGTGTTCAAGCTGGAAAAAGCATGTAATTCATAATTCCTTATCTGTTAGCAAAAGGCTTGTAAAAGTTATAAATACAATGAAGTCTGGTCTTTCAGCATCCATTTTTAAAGCCTTTAACTTCTCCCAGAAAGAGATGCAAAAGTTAATATCTCTTCCTCTTTTAAAAATTTCATCAGAACTATGTGGCTATTTTATTGAAGAAACCTTTCTTTTCACAAGTTTTTAAAGCAAAAGTGATGATGCTTAACTAAATCAACGGTTGTGTCCAAATTAAGCTTTGGTGCTAATCCCTCATTGAGGTGAGCCAGATGGAAAAGAATTAAGTTCAGCAGTTGCTGTTGCTGCATTTTTGAAACTTTCTTCATAATTATAGTATTTTCCCTTTTGCCTTGATTGCAAAATACTCAGAATATTACAGAATATAGTAAGATTCATGAAGAATTTCAAATTAGAACTTCTTACAATCTAAGCTGTCATTTTATGATTTTTAAGATAGTCTGTTAAGTCAGTATAACAGGTTTCAGATTTGCTGTTCAAAAAGCGGCTCCTATGCCTGTCAGAATAGGCAGAAAAGATGAATACAACAGAAGTGATGTTTCATGCTTTGTAGACACCTAGCCAATACTCTTGCTGTAGATTTTAAATCTCTTAAATTAATTGTAGTGGGGGAAAAAAGCTATCCAATAACTCATGGAAAATTGCAGACCAGCAAACAGAGATTTTGGTGGCAGCAGAAGCATGATGGAGAGGAATTCAGAGAAGGAAGCCTTTGGACCAAGGAGGAAGCAAAGAGATGGGGTTCTAGAATAAATTGCCTCATATGTAAATTCCACAACTGCTTAACTCCAGGGTTTTCTTTGTTGTTTAAGATGACCTGCCAATTATGTAAGTTAAAATGCAATAAAATATAAGTAATTTTCAATATTAAGAATATTCAGGACTTCAGGTAGCTGAAATAAGTTACTGTAGCTTATTAGTTAACAATACTTGAAGTATTACCTCTTCTGAAGAGCATAAGAGCAGCAGTGACCTCATGTTGGAGATGTTTTCTGAAGTGACAGTTCAAAAGATACCTCGTATGTTGTAGCTAGCTGGACAGATACATTTATTTAAAGTTTTAGCAAGTTCTGCCTTGATTGCAATTACCAACATATAGCAAAAAAGGTAGGTGTACTTGTATGATTATGTCTTGGTACAGAGATCTTGTTTTCAATGTAAGTGCTTTTCTCTTCAATAATACACTAAGGTAGCCTTGAGATTTCAGAGTATTTCACGCTTTTAGTATTAGTAGAATCACTAGGGCTGCTTACCTAGAAGATAAGACTTCTACAGATAATGAGTAGTGTTATATGTGCTAGTTACACATGCAGATTTTTTTAACGAGGTGTTAAGTGGTTGACATAAGGATGGCGGCTACAGATTTTAGTTGTTTATTGAGTTAATCCAAATGATTTCTTCAGTCATTTAAGAGCCAACAAATTGTTTTCAAAGGTGGCTGTCATTAGTCTGCAACTAATGCAATTGTAGATTAACTTCTAAACATGCGTTCATATGTAAATAAACCCCTTTTGGGACAGAGGAAGGTAAGACTTAGCAGTACTTCTAATCAAATGTTGCTTCTGCCCCTGAGTTTTTCAGTGCTCTGTCAGTGAAATAACTAAACTACTTCCTTATATTAAGGAAACAAAACCGCCTGTCTGTGTACACAAGTTCTTCCTCAAAGAAAACTTTATTTAAAAAAAAAATCACAAAACCAAACAGAAACCCCAAACAACAACAAAAAACTAAAACCACAAAATCAAACCAACAACAAAAAAACCTCCAACAAAACAAAAACCACAAGGAGAGGTCAATTTAAATTTCTTGCCAGTTCTTGTATTGATGCCTATTACATACAATCCATCTCTCTCCCTGTTAGTTAATGTGAATATTCTACTTGCAACAGCTCTGTCTGAGGATTCAGGTTGCTGAGCTTCTGCCCATGCCTGGCACTCATTTATCCAGTTGAGTGTCTTTCTCCTACTTCCCCTCCTCCTTCAAAATGTCAGATTTCAGAAGGAGGCACTTAAAATAATTAAGGTGGGCCTTTACTGAAGAAAAATGCTTTGTTTGCATGCCCTTGTGATGGCCTATGCCATTTTGTTGTAGTCTGCATTTTATGTCAAGAAACTGGAAGAAAAATGGGTGAGAGGAGGATGAGAGAAACTAAAAAATGATTATTTTTTTAAACTGTTAACAATTGTATTTTGAGAGAGACTTACGTAGGTTTTTGTATCTGTGCATTTAGTTTGTTAAATTTGGGGGTGAAAACATCTTTAAGGTTGTTTGAAGAAGCGAAGGGAAAGGAATACATAAAATGTATCATAAATCAAATATCTATGGTGTGAAAGAAATGTTAAGTGGAGTGTAAATTACATTGACTGTTACCAAGTTTAATTCTTGTAATGTAGGCTCAGGAAAAAGATAGAAAAAAGAATGCAAATTTTTTGGAAGGGCCATTTATAATTTACTCATTCATGAAAATGACTGGAAGAAGGCTATATATTTTAAAAAATAAAAGAAGGTGAAAAAAAGAAATAAAACTCAATTAAAATGCTTATTGGAACTGAAAATTTTTCTTACAAAGAAATAAACCAGCTAAATATAGTGTGCAAGAATTTCAGTTCAAATGGTGAACGTAATACAGAATAGACAGTTGTGTTAAGTGTACTTTTCTTTTGTGGGAGAGCAGTCATATGTAAATTGCAATTTATTCCTGAAACAGCTAACTAGATTTTTTTTTTTTCTTTGGATGTGCAGACATACAACTTAAGAAAAGTGGTCTTTCCTAAAAATTCTGTTAGTTACTCTTCACAAAATATTTCCTTCGGAAAACTGAAGATAGGAGTGTTTGTTAGCATTCCTGTCAATTACTTTTCCTCCACCTTCATGTGGTGAAGCTTAGCAATGAATGTCTCTATTTTTACACTAACTTCATTAATGCCAGTCAGCACTAGGAAGTATTTTTTATTACTTAAATTATGAGCCTACTGTTGTCGTGAGTGTAATGAAGCAAAAAGCATTTTTGTTTCAGACAGAAATGGATTCTTGTTAAGAAAATAAAGTTTCCTGTTATCTTCTGTCTATAATAGTGTAGGTGCAGTGCATGCACCCTAGCAGTGAGCTGTTTGAAGAACTTCTGGTGGTTTGCCAGTAGCAAGAAGGCAGTTCAAGCTCAATACATAGTTGCACTGTGTATAACCTAGTGAGATTATCGACAAAGCTCTCAATTACAATTTAAACTTGTGTTTATAAAGACCTTCGTGTAGCACGAAGTGAATTAAAACAAAAAGGCCAGTAATTTATTTTTATGTAGACTACCAGATGGTAATTACTGTAGCTGATTTAGTAGCCTGGAATAGATTCAAACTAGTGACCTAGAGGTGTTTAATTTCTTGGCATTTTTTCCTCACATTTTCTTTTAATCCATGATTACGTTTCAACACCTGTTTAGAGATGGTTCAGCTTTGGCCTTAAACGGATTGGCAATGTGTCATTAAACTCAAGAGGCTTTGCCAACAGGGCATCTCCTTTGGCAAAGTTAGCTTTTAAGCAAGATTTGATTAAGTCAGCAAACATTTATGTGGATTGGTTTTGTCTTCAAATATGACTTTATATAAAGTCATCATGTGAGATTAAAATAAAATTTATTGCATTTAATAACATATGCCTTAAAGAGATTTTTTTTTTGGAAGGGATTTATTCAAGTCAGTAAGGTTTAATATCTCCTTAACTCCCAGCTTTACAGGGTTTTGACATGTTCCAACTTACTGTACAGCGCCAACGTTGATATAAGTTCTAGGGAGCAATTGCAGGATGTGTGGCATGAGGGCTTGCCCATTTGTTCTGTTTCTTGCTATTTCGCAGCTGTTGGGAGAACCAAAGTAGGGATGAAGCTCTTGACCTTGAGGTCAATTAGAAGCTTAGAAGCAGGTCAGAGGAGAGTGTATGGTAAAACGAGTATTCTGGGGGTATGCAAGTGAGCAGAAATAATTTGCGCCTAACAGGGTACTTACTGTCTGAGGCACTGCAGACTAAATGTGCTTCACTGTGTAGTAAGAGTTTTAAGTAAACATAAGACACTAAAGAAATTTGCCTTTAATTGCCTGCTGTTCTGTGGCAGCCAATTTTGTTCTGCTCCTTCAGATCCCTTACTGTATGTCTGCATATCGCAGCACACACGTTAGAGAAGCGTAGCTCCAAGAGTAGCTCACATGTACAAGGTGAAACTGGCTCTCAATTAATGGAACTGTTCTGTTGTGGTATGAGGCTTCAAGGGGTGTGAATGGGTCCCAGAGAGGCCTTGCAGCATTGGCCTCTGTTCCCCCTTCTGGCTGCCTTTGTTTCACCACTGTGCATGCAGAAGACCCAGCAGATACTGCAGTAGCACAACCTGCTGCTTGGTCACCCAGGGCATCTGAGGCTTGGGAACCACACTTCAATTGCCCATGGGCTATACGCAGCTGAAGAGTCTGGCCTCACCTGGTGTTATTCCAAGGTCAAAGCATGATTTTCTGATTATAAAGGAGGAGGTAATGCAATTCCTATTTATTTACTAGTTTGCCTTTGACTAAACATGTAAAAATGCCCAAAAGAAATATAAATCATAATGTTTATCTTTTTTAACATTATTTCTTTCCATAACACATTGACATTACTAGTTTATAAACCTGTCAAAAGAGTGTTTTTGCTGTGGTATGATGACTGGCTTTTTTATTGTGTAGAAATAGCAAATTGAAGGTCGGATGTTGCAGTAATTTTAATTTGACTCCTTTTTCTCTCCTTTTTGTGCAAATTGTACAAGAGCACTGTACTCAAAGACAAAAAACTAGTTCAGAACTTCATGCAAATATTTCTCTGTAGATTGATTTAATAAGAATTAATACAAGGAAAATTATTTCAATATAATGATTTTAAGTATGTTTATGGGAAAGTTTCAAGTTAACTGTAAGTTCTGAAGGGATGCATTTTGTTTGTATCGGTCCCTCACCCAGAGAACTAAAATGTGAAGCTGATTCTTTTACAAAATCTGTAATGAAGATTCACATATGGCCAATACAGCAAGTTGTTTCCAATGTCTACTTATTTTTCCTGATCTCTAGTTTTTCTGAGGTAGACCAGAAAGCCAGGAAGATTGACTGGAGGGGAAAAAAAAACCCACAAAGCAAACAAACCAACAAAACCTCATCACCCTCCCTAAAAGTCAAGGAGAGGCTGGACTGACTGAGTCCTACTCAGAACTGAAAGTTTTAGTTCCAGAATTAGTACAGTTTGAATAAATACCGTATCTGTTGATTTAAAAACAGCAAACAAACAAACCAAACCAAAAACCCCAAAACCCCACAAAAAACCCCAACCAAAACCCCAAATCCCCAAACAAAGAAAAAAAAACCCTAAAAGTCCAGTGTCGAGAATTTCTGTGTTTCTGCATAACTGAAATGCAGCTTTGTCTTGGCAAACTCAAATTTGTTGACACAAGACGATACTGATACAAAGAGGAACTGAAATACAAAATTTTTTCCATATTCTTGGTTCTTATTTGTGGTTTAAAATATTGAAAATATGTTAATTAAATGTTTGTCAATTTTTATTTTTCTTCTGCAACACTTCTTGAATTTTTGGTTAAATGTGAGGGTAATCACAGGAACTTCCTATACATGGCAGTTGAAATATAACTTAGAAATACTAATAGCAGAATTTTGCTTTTCTAGTACACTTTTTTTTTTCATTCTTTTCCTTTTTGAAAGTGTGTATTTGAAATCACAGTATAAAACCCCAACATATCTTAAGCCTCTTCTTTTTGCTTAACTACATGCATATTACAGCTTTGGTGAAGAAAAGTAATGTATTTGTGTTGATGTTCTTTTCTGAAAACTTCTCAAACTCCTGCAAATGAGAACAGAGTATTTTTGATGAGGTAAGCTGGAGCTTTTAGTTAGAACAGTTCCAAGCTTTGTATTTCTGTGTCTCTGTCCCATTCCACCCCTAGAAGGACAAAAATGTTGCTTTTTTAATGTTTATTACCTATTGAAGGTGAAGTATACATCAGGTATAAAATTTTGATGTTGCGCATATTTTGAGCTGTTCAGGGAAAGATCCTCTAAAAGAAAAATCATTACTGAATCTTGAGGAAGGAGCATTAGATTGGAAGAGCCTGTATCTGTATTGCTAGTGTTTTTAGGGCCCTAAAATGTTTGTATTGAGGCAAAATGACTGCTTAAATTTATCACTTTGGAAAAGTAAAAAATCTGGATGTAAATGTATTTGAAATACTCTTACTACCAAAACTGAATATACTTGAAAACAAATATTCCTGTTTAGACTGATACGATTGAAAACTAATGAGGAGTAAATTGAAATGTGCTTATTTATGTTAAGGCAAAAGTTTTCTTCAGAGAAGTTCCTATTTTTAAACTGTTTTCCAGTGTTTTTGTTTTGACTTAGGAAGTCTAGTACCCATATAGTTTCTGTCTGTGGCTAAAATCTTTTCTCAGGTATGTCTTTTAATTTCTCTTTACAACCTGTAGAGCCATTTCTTATGCTTTTGTGGGAAGGATTTGATTTTCGAATCTTCAAAATCCATTTTGATTACTTTTTTGGGTTTTTTTTTTCTTTGCTTTACTTCATATGTATATATTTTTGTATGCTTCAAAAGGCGCAGTCTCCCCTTTTTTTGTGATTGTGGTATCAGCCATAATAGACTCTGACTAATAAGATAAGACTAATGTTGCCTTTGTTACCTGCATATTACTCCATTTGCAGTGATAATCTATTTTATATCTATAAGGCAACAATACTACTAAATTTCATTTATGTGCTTCTGACTAGTTTTCTTTGTTGTTCAGCTATTGTGTCTCATTTTCATGAGAGCCACATTTCCAATTGTTCTGTGATTGACATGCTGGAGAGATTGACAGTTACCCCCTAGTGCATGCTGTCTGGAGATCCCACAAGCAATAATGGATTTTACACCAGAATTTAGCATCAAATATTGGCTTTCAGTGTCAAATGGGTTAAATTTAAATGCCGGTTAATTGTAGCCATTTTGAAATCATAGCCTTAAACAAAAGCGTTTTTTTGGATATCAGTATGTCTGAGTCCTGTGTATGCCACGCAACCCAAATCTCAAACTTATAGCAGAAGTTAACCATTATATTTATGATTGTTTCTGTTTCTTAATGATGGAAATAGTCCAAATCTGGTGAGTACAATGAAAGTTTCCACGTGTGGTAGAAAACTCATGTTTCAGGTAAACTGAAAAGAGAACCAATGCTGGTCCTAATTTTGTAATTCAATGTTCTAACATAGAAACTGAATATGTTTCCTCAAAGCCTTCATATTTGCTGTTAATGGTAGTCCTCCTGTACCTACACGTTTTTTTAGCCTCAATTCTACTGAAACCACCAAAAACCCCCTTTTCCCCATCCCCAAAACCAAAACTGTAAGCATATGAGATGCTCTCATCTCTTATGTTCCAGCAGCAAAAAGTTACGTAAATTCTTTAAAATTTCTTCTGTGCGCAGTGATCTCCTACTTAAACCTGGCAGAGAAATGTAACTTCCCATTTCCCGTAACCAAATGTAAAGACAAATAGAGAGTACGAGGAGGTATTTTGGAAGGAGATGAAACGTTACTGATCTTTTGTGGAAATTTATCAGAGTTGTTCTTCAGGCGCACTGACTTGTATCGGTGAGATGTCTCCAAAGCATTACAGAGTTCTGCTCAGAGCGGGATCATGATTCTGACCTGTGTTTTACCACTTTCCTCAAGTATCTTTGAAGGGGTAGATGCCTGCATAACACAAAGAACAACTGTTGTATCGTACTATCTTTGCAGGGAGCAGTGTTTTTGGATGACTTCTACCATTAGAGGCAGCAATAATGACTGGTTAACTTTTTTCTTTTCAAAATTTATTAAGATGTCTTATTTCATTTTTAATGAGACCAGGTTTTGTTCAAATTTATGAGATTATACTTGAAATTATAAAAGTACTTGCTGATGTTTTACAATACATTCTACATTGAAATTTGAATCATCCTTTGTATGTAAAAAGTGGGACTGTTAGTGTAATAACGAAGAATGAAATTATTTTTGGCTATAGAGAACTATCATTAGCTTTATCTAATATGATAATTACTTTTTATTTAATACAATCAATGTTCTGCATGCTTGGAAATGATAAATAGTAGTTTGTCTATTTCAGCATTTCTATTGTATCTTCATTGTTTTTGAATCAGTATAGAAATCTCTTAAACTGGTATGTGAGAGTAAGAAAACTCTCCCATACCTCTTACTTCAGCAGTCTGGTTGTTCATAATGGAAAACTTTCAGTGCAAATCTATAATTACTAATTAATCAGATTTTGGAAATGTGTACCTTATTGTGAGATTTGTGACAGAACTTCTGGTCTTATGTGTAAATTTGCCAAATGGATTTCAGATTAGAATCTGATCTAATCCTTGGAGAAAAAACTTAATATATATTTTCAACACTTTAATGGCAATGTAGAAGTTGGTTTAAATAAAAAAAAAAGGGAACAAGTTGGATTTTGGAGCATGCAGTCGGTGTTACCATAATGAGTTCACACTAAAACGACTGCTGCCTAGCAATTTTCTTTGTTTGTCTCTGCACACACTACTCTAATTAAAGACTTTTCTTTCTTCCTTGAACTTCCGGATTGCTGATGTGAGCAAAGTGGGTACATGACCTTTTACAAAGCTGTAGGTAGTGATCAGAAATGTTTTTCTAACCATTTTACTTTTCAGGTTGTCAGTGAGCATCATAATCTGTAATACCAACGCTATTACATTTCAACCTTTATTACGCAAAAGTTCTACATTCTAAACAAATACTTTCTATACTGAAAATTGTTGTAACTCAAAGAAACAAATGTATCTTAAATTTTTTTGCAAGGTTAATTGAGAACTTAAAACAGAGCCATTGCAATAACTTGTTTGTATAAGGATGCTAATGCCATTGCAACATTTTCTTAAAGGATGCCAGACAATTATATGTAGAATATAAAGAAACAAAAATGAAGGCGAGAGAAGATGCCCTGGCTAAGGCTGAACTTGAAACACTTCAGAGTGAGTTTTTACCACTGTCTTAATAAACAAAGATGTAATATGATATACCTACTACACAGGATGTATATGAACAAACATTTCTATAATCTTCCAAATACAAGCTTTATGTATTTCTATACTGCTGTTAAATTTAAATAAGCTTTTGATTTTGTGACTAGTTTTGCAGTAGGCTGCTGGTTTGGTCCTATAGAAGCATAAAACTCAGGTGATAGTTATGTCATAGCAACAAAAGTGTACTTTGCTAGAAATGTTGCTCTATGGGAGCGGGAAATCGCAAATGTATAGAACTCGAAGCATACATTTTCAGAAGTGACCTCTTGCATTTTGAGCATTCTTGTATTCTTTTTGTCTGTAAATATTTTTTTTTTAAATAATGTGTTTAATAATTCTTTTGTGCATATTGAGTTGATTTTTGTGATAGGAACTGAACTTAATTTGAATTTCCAAAAGCATGGATGCAGACTTTGGAGATTATTTCAACAACAGCATGAATTTAATGCTTTAAAGTCTTTACACTCTTATAAAAGACCAAAGAAGTCAATTAGCATTTCCCTTAATAAAGTACTCAGGATAATTATAGGTGACTTTTCCTTTTTTTTCTTTCAGTTATTTGCTTTTGACAATGATTAAACCTACTGTCTTCTTAAGCCAACTTTAAAAGTTTTTTTGTCTCTCTTTATATGTGCATGCTTGCTTTATTTACTGTACTTAAGTGCATGCTTTTAAGTTCCTTTATTCTGACAAGTGCATTGAGTGCCCTGTAATAATTTACTAGCTTTGAGTATGCATAAGCCTTTAGGCACTTAAAATACAGCTGCATTATTTATATTTACAAAATAGCTTAATTTTGGAAAATCAGCAGAGAGATCCAGTTTCAGTGATAATTCCCAACTTATCTGTAGCTGAATCTATTTTGAGAAAATGGATAACATTCAGCACCTCAGTGAGCATCATGGACCCAGGCCAAATCTAGCAAAATAATGCATTTAATGCTTGTTAGGGAAGGCTGCCATTATGCTTGAGATACGTACCACAAAATGGGCCCTTGAAAAGGGTCTTGTCTCAGGTTATTAAAAACTTGTTAAATTGTCAGATAGTAATGTATTGCCATTGTTCAAAATAGCTGGCATACATTCTTCATTGAAATCTGTGACCTACTGTTTTAAAAGGACTAGTTTTTGAAAACAAGTGAAAGTGTAAAGCCATTAAAATTGTAGTGTGCACATTCCTGTCTTTCACTGAAAGACCACCTGTGAACTTTTCAGTATTTCTCCTCTGCCAGGTGCCATGTGAGAGTCAACACTTTTTGTTACCTCCAGCAGCAGTGACCGCACGTGAGAGGTGTGAGTTTGCACTTTCGTGTCCTGGTCACCCTGACCTCTCACAGAAGCACCTCCCTGTCCCCTGTTATGCTGCTGGGTGTGACGTTGCCTGTGACCTCCAGGTCTGTCAGGTGACCCAGTGTCACTCCTGTGAGCAGGGGCCAGTCCTCACCAGTCTTGCTGGTTGGCATCCTGCCCTCCTTTGGTGGGCTTGCTGGCAGGGACCAAGAGGAAGGATTCAGACTTACCACTTGCAATTAGCAGAGTTTGAAATTAGGCACGGAATTAATTTGATCAGCCATAGCAGTGCTATTGCTGGGCAGCAGAATAAGCAGTCAGTTACCCTTTCTTAAAAAGAAATAAGACTGCCAAGAGAAGAACAAGAGATGTGTCTATGTTACTGTAGGCAAAAAAGTAGTTATATAATTTTTTTACTGAAGCTTGCATGCAAAGCATCTGTTAAATTTGCTTATTTCATTATATTGTTCTGCGTTGTCACTGCACAATTAGCATAGAAAGGTTGTAAATCACCAAATGTGGATTTTGTTTGCCCCATTCTTCTTAATTTTAGAGACCATCTGTGGAATGTGAGTTCATAATAACAGTTCCATCTATCCAATTGCATAAATGTATCTCATGCAGATCAGCAATAGCTGTTTTACAGTGCTTGTTTTTTCATGACCTAATTGCTAGTTTACCCCCATGTCTATCTGCTTTAAAAAAAGTGGTATTCTGTAGGCAGCTTGAACTAAAACCAGAGAAGGGTACAGGAGGAGGAAAATATAATTTGCAAAGTAGAAAAGAGAGGACAGTATTGAGATGTCATTAAAGTGCTGTATTTGGTGAGGAGTGTGAAAAAGTAATTTCTTCATAAGTCAATATTATGCACAATTTTGATTTATTTTTCTGGCACTTTTGCAGTGTTTCTTATCACTTCTTAATCCATTCAAAGCTGTCACTACTACCTGAGTAAAATATGACAACTTTACAACGTTACCTTAAAAAAATACAGCAACTTACAATACAGACCGTATGTTTCTAGGAAATGTGGTTTTGTATGGAATTACAGATAACTGGGTGCTTTATGTACAAAAATATAAATGGTTTGCCCTACATTTTCTGATGTCCTTTTTCACATTTAGATACCAGAACACAAAATTGATTTTAAAATGAAAGTGCTTTAATTAATAAACTTTCTTTTAACTTCTCCCTCTCCTGTAGTGTCACACGTGTATAATCCTTGCATCAGGGAATGATTCTGTAACAATTGATAACCCTGCTCTTCATAGTCATGGGATGTAGAATAGAGTATGTATTAACTGAACTGAGTAGTTATTAAACTGAGAACACATAGCCATACATTGTCAGGACAGATGACTCTGCCAGTTTTTAAACTTAAATTGCAAGGTTTGAGTAGTTACCAAGACAAATTCTAGCAGCTCTACTGGCCCTCTTCTTGCATGGAGCACTTCTTTCAACGACGTCTATTTTGGGGAGAAACACATCTCTTTTTCTTTCTTTATACTTAGCCGTGATAGTTCTCTTACTTTCTGTTCTTCTTACATTTGTTTTCCCTGACCTTCAATATGAAGACTTAAATTTATTTTTAAAATATACCTTTTTAAAGAAATAGCACCTGCCGGATACTGAAGGTGAACTCTTCACTGTCATCCCAGTTACCAAACATATTTGCATTGTAAATCCAGAATTCTTGCCCTGATGTACAAGGCATCTGGACCAATCCATGGCAAGAAACTATTTTGTTTCTAGTTATAAATCATGTTGAGTAGTACTTAGTGTTTTGGTTTTTTCCCCTTACTCTCATCATTCAAGCTTTAACTGAAATACAAAGTTACTAGCCCTATGGCTGCATGATTAGACTTCTTTCTGTATTGAGGCTTTATAATGGCATCTATAGTGGTATTTGTATCTCTGTATAGGACTTTATAATAAGACATGTCTTACCTGAGTGCCTGCTGTGAACATCCAGAGCTGTAGTGAAACCTTTAATACATTTGATCAAGTTTGGTTAGGCTTGGTGGTTCTCCCTTTCCAGACAGCTTGGAATACAGTATGTTGCTTGGGTAGCTTTTTATATTGTTTCATGAAACTTAGGGATAGAAGACATCACTAGATGGTTTACTATAATGTGTTTATTTCAGACCCTTACAGGCAAAAATCAGTGAAAAATACTGATTCTCATGACTTGTCTTGTTTGACTTGTACCAGTGAGGCACTTCAGCTTTTAGCATCTTGTTGTGCAAGATATAGTATTGATCAGAAAACCTTGAGATGCCTTCCATTCTTCATGGTTTGTTCAGACAATTAATTTTACTGTTATATAGTTATATCTTAATTTCAGTGTGGATTTCTCTAGCTTTAGCTTTCAGTTGTTCATTACTAGGATTTTTCTGTGCTTAAAAAAAGTTGGTTTATTTATCTGCAGGTTTTCTTTATGTAAAGCATTTCTTTAGCCCTTAATTTCTATGGACTTTCTGTACTCTATTTAGTTTTCCAACGTAGCTGTAAATACTGGACCCCGGGTTTGTATCCAGTGTTCTAACATTTGTCATCTTCTGATTATAAAATCAGGTTTCTGCTATTACTACTGTTCTGTTTACAGAATCACAGATTACCTCAGTTCCCTTTACTCCAATAGCTCATTTCAGATGGCTTGTCCACCATAACTACAAGCTCTTAGATCAAAGGTTCCTTGCACACAGTTCCTTATAAGGACCTTATGCCATATCTGCACTTAACTATGTAATTTTCAAAAATGCTTTTGATTTAATTGGTCCCAGACTAGCAGCCAGTCCATGTTCCTACTTCTTCCTGTACTTTCCTCTTTGCTGTAAATAATTTTGACCAAATTTATGTACTCTCGTGCTATACTGAAGGTGACTTTACATTTACTTCCAAATAATTGACAAATATCTTGAATAATTATGTTTAGTATTAATCCCTGCCAAAATGCAGTGTTCACATGCCTGCTCAGTAATGATTTGCTGACAGGCAGGTTCAGAGAAAATTAATTCACATAATGCATGCTTTTTTTGGTTGGTGTGGGTGTGAATGTTCTGATCACTTAATTGTTACCTCTGAAGCCTAATTATGGCAAACTAAGTATCATCCATTTCACAGATTGTTTTGGCAGGCCTCCTGAAAGGATTCTGAACTTGCAAGCTCATGTGATTTTTCCAGTTGTTTCAACTAGGCTATATGATGCCTCTCCCTACAAAACTTGCTTCAGATTTTATGGATGATATTCCACTAACATACAGTGGTATGAGGCTCATTTGAAAGAGGCACGTGTGTTTCATTATATGTTTTTTGGAAGGCAAATTAGCTCTCAAACATTGGAAGTTTATTTCTAACCCTTTCATATTATGACAATGGGGTATTTTGGGGGAATTGGAAGTTTTGGGAATGGTACATACTCAAAGAAAAAGATGAAAGACATCAAAACCTACAGCTTGCGAGAATTTTTTTGTAATTGAGGATACATTCATCACTGTGAATGAAACTAACATGTTTTTAGTCAGATTACTCAAAAATGAACTAGCTTCTAGATCTCAGTACAGCGAATATATATATATCTGTCTCTAACTCATGATGCATTCACATAATCCAATTGTCTTTATTATGAGTACAGAAATGTATATTTTCTTAAACATATGAGTCTTAGCCCCATATTTGCAATGATACTGAATAAAGTTTGCTCATTTTTTTCAATAGACTGTCATATCCTTATTACAATTTTTTCCAGACTTTTGGCTCTATTGTATTCTATCTGACTGTATTGCTGTACATGCAAGTGAATTTTTCTCTGTCATGTTTTAAACAAATTTTAATGCTGTAAATGCTTTGGTTGTCTTTCTTAGTTACATAGGTAAGTGAACAATGTTGAAAGAAAAGGAGATCTCAGTGCAGTATCTTACTGACTTTCCAAAAAGGTGTTTGCTGTCTACCTCTGTATGTGGTCATATTTCTTGCTTATCAATGCATGAGGTAGCAATCAGCCTGTCCCTTTACTTTCTATGATTTTCAAGACATTACTGTCTTTTTTGACTATATTTTCTGTGAATTCTTGTTCATGCTTAAAGCTTAGAAACCTTGCAGAGAGAGGGAGCTTGATGTGTCATACTTTCTTTGCACAAGTTCAGCACTGGTTTTTTGTTCTGTTTCTTTCTATATGAAGTGGTCATTTTTTCTGTGGAAAAAAAGTATCTCTGAATTCTTTACATTTACATCAACTATCAGGTAAAATCAGTGTATACTTTTCTGAAAACTTTTAAATATGGACCTTTGATACTTACTATGGAAAAAGCACCACTGTTTTGTTACATGGCACTCGATCCAAATTGCTAACTGATTCCTTATATTCTAAAAATGACAGCTGATATATCTTAAAGCAAATGACCATTAACCAGATACTATTAATTCTGCCACTGATAAAATTAATGTAGTAACAAGGTGGAAGGACTAACGAGGAAGGTCAAAGTATCTGATTATGTGCAAGTAATTAATCAAACTTCAAAACCCGGATCATGGCACCATAAACTAGTAAAATGTATAGCCAGTACGACAGGAATGATATTGGAGGCCTTTAGAAAACATAAAGTGCCGTGCTTTAAGAGAGTTAGCTAATTGCTATCTGTTAAAGTCTAGGCATCCCAGTGATGGGTATATTTATATGCTGTTCAAACACAGGGGACAAATTACATTTCTCTTTTTAACTCTAAGTTGTTAGATACACAGTCAAATTTCGTCTTCTGGCAAAGAACTTGATAGTTCTAAAGGTGGAAAATGCTCATAGAAAATTAGTATCCTTGGAGTATGAATTCAGCAAATGATAAAACAAAATTTCTCCTATTACAGAAGGACTAGAACTCTGTAAAATTCACAGATCATGTAAAAATACTGATCATTTTACATTGGAGTGGTAGATAATCAAACAATTGCTATAGTGCTTACAATCTTGGATTGTCTATTTACTTTCTGCTGTTGCCTGTTCTTTTTATTCTGTTTAATAAACTAGAAAAGTTACTACACTGTACTTTGGCAATTAGAATACATAATGTTCCCAGGAAATAGTAGGGAGAGTAAGCTATTCATTTACCCTATTGAGGTTGAAGTCAGGCCCTGGTTTTACCAAGACTCTTTCTCTCCACTGCATGTAGTTGTATGAGCACCGGTAACTCTGGTCATAGTTAAGGTCTGATGGATATTGGTGCCCACACAGGGCATGGTGGTCTGATTGGGTTTCCAGTGGACAGTGAGTAGGCTGTCACAAAACTGGGAGGAACCTCTGAAATCTTTTTCTTTATGTTTTTCCTGCATTTCAGTTAGGTTTATGCACAACAATATTAGAACAGTATTTGACACTGGAGGAGAAAAATGAGTTTTAAAAGCCTGTTCTGTTATAGTAGATGGCCACATACTGTAAACCCAGCACTGTTTGAAGATGACACTAAGTATTAAGGGAACACTTGTGTTTCAAAACTCTGAATCACAGCTGCAGTTGTTGCTACTGGCAGCACCATCAAACATCCTCACTTTAGGCTGTGGTGGTGGCAGCAGCACCAGCTTCCTGGCTGTCTGTCAAGCCTGAGCAGATGTAGGATTCAGCTGTCTAGGCATCATCTACTATTTGGAAAACCTGATCCTTATTCTCTCCAGGGGAAAGCACCAGGTCAGGTCGGAAATGTCTTTTGGGCTGCCAGTTGAATTGCTGATAACCTCTCTCTTTCATGTTATATTTTCGTTTTCTTCCTAGGTATCTGCTGTGGATTTCTGTTCTTTGGGTGAAATAGTTTCAGTGATCTGTTTTGCTTTCTTCAGTCTTCACCTGAAAGAACAACAGTGCTGCCTTTCAGTTGAGGCTTCATAGTGTGAATCATTACCTCCAAACATAACTTCTGAGCTTCCCCAATCTAAAATCCTTGATGGTATTATCATTAAACCACTTTTATGTGCTTTCCTATTCCAAAAAGTGGCTTTCAAAAACTCTGAGGTCAAACTGTTCTCAATGGGTTATTGGGAACCCTATGTCAAAAGTGCTGTAACTTCAATTCTATTTTATTTTTTTTTAATTCAATATGACAGCCATTGTGATATGTAATGGATATGCTGAACTCCTTCATCTTTTTGTATATGCACGGGAGACAGTAGAGACAAGTTTTTGAATCGTGGTTGAGTGCTTGTTTGAGGTTGTACAGCCATCTTCTCTAGGTGGGATTTCTCATTCCTTTGATAGTCAGCAAACAGCAGTGTGTCTTTTCTATGTTAGGTCTTCCTCTGTCACATAACTGCCTGAAGAAAGCCTAGATACTGTCTTTGATACCTCATTTTAAAGTGGGGTGCAGTCTTTTCTGGAAATACTGTTACAGAATTACTTCTAAAACTACAGAAAAAGCCTAGATGACCTATTTTCAGGCTAGACTCGTCATTTTTAAATGTTAGATGCTTTAACAATTTGCATATTTTGAGAGGGAAAATTAGCCAACAGTAGCTGATGGGGTGCAAGACACAATTGAACCCAATTGTCTTGGGGTGTCTCCACTGTTAAGTAATTCCAAGTGAACGCATGCAGTGTGCTTGATTATTTTCCAGGGTTGAAATACACTTGTGGAAATTGTTGTTTAGGGTAACTTCCTAGAATATTTTTGCCAGTGTATTTGTTTGCAGTAAAGAGCTGGTGAAGCCATTGTTACTTATCCTTGCAAATCTTAACTCTGACTCCAGAAGCTATTAAATATGCCAACTTTGAAGAAAAATGAGATAATGGTTAATGCATCTGATTTGATTATAAAAATTACATTTTGAAATAGACAAAAAGAATTTTGCGCGAACAATGAGAGGAATGCTGGTTAACATTTTGGGGCTTTCTTTTAGTTTTCTTTTTGGGAAGTGCATGTGATTTCATTATAATTACTATGCATACTATAGAAGGATGCTAAAAAAATTCCAAATACAAGTTTTTGCTTACTGTTTTATTTATTTTGCTATTTATGTTATTTATTGAGAGGAATTTGACAATTACAAGCAAAGTTAGAGATTTTTCACAAACAGGTCTCTCAACAACGTATCTTTACAAGTTTAGAAGATAGCTACTCATTCTGTTAACTTTCAAGATCTGTATGAATTTCCTGTTGTTTTTGGACTTCTGAAAGGTGCTGTGAAACAGTTCTCTGTCCATTTATTGTTTTCTTAAATATTCAGTTCCTAGGAGTTTGTCAAGTCTGTGGAATCTCTTCACTGTGCTGTTCCTGCACATATACTGTTAGGAAACTTGTGCATCAGAGTCTGTACAGAACAGTCCGTCTGTCCTCTTTAGGAAACTTTTTAAGAAGGTTTTCTTGAAAAACAGGCATTTCTCCTCTGGTGCTCAGAAAAGTATTAAGGAATGGTTGCAAAGGCAGATAATCTGATCTAATGGCCCACTGCTGCTGAGAAGTCTGGTTCTCCTTTTCCTTGCCCGTTACCTTTAAATGACTTAGATTTTTAAATTTTTGTTGGAGTGTAAAGGAGTAATTTTCTATAAGATAAGTGAATTGAATTGGTTTGCCAAGTGGTTGGATGACTGTCGAAGCACAAATAGAAGAGAGAGGAGCATAAGCATACAGTGGAGAGTGGAAAGGTTCAGGGAGAGTAGAACTTTCCTCTTTTGGCTGCAGCCAACCATTAGATGAGCTCTTTTGGTTTAGTAGCATCCTTAGGAGCATCCAGTTATTGTAAATACAGCATATTTTTAAAACAGCGAGGAGAAAAAAAATAATTAGTCCCACTTGGCATACCTAAGCTTTCTGGATGCTTTCTGAGTGTTCAAGCTTCTTTTCCTGATCCTTATCCTCTTGTCTCTCCTAAAGTTCTGGCAACGTTTGATCAATCTTAAATCTTTCTTTTGAGGTCATCTTATCTAGCAGATATGTTTTCATTTACTGGGGTTTAGGTGGTTGTTTTCCCTCCTTTGTGTCCTGTAAGTTTGCTGCTCCCATTTAATACCATTTGAAGGACAGAGAGACCAGGAAACTGATCAGTTGAGAAATGAGGCCCAACATTTAAATTTTCCTAAATGTCTAAGTTCTAGAACAGAGCTATTTGTAGTTACATAAATCTGAGAACAGAGAAGCTATCTATTGACTCGAAAGGTTTTACACAGCACAACTGACCATAGATTAACACAAAATTGTCTAAAACTCACCTTTCTACCTTTGCTATTTTCTTTGAAGCCAGCTGGACTTTTGGAATCTCTTAACAGTTCCCTATGCTTTTGCCTGTACTAATCTTAATTGCCAGGTGGTGTAGCAGTAACAAGAGCTAACTGATTTTGAGGGGCTCCTCATTTGGCCCTTTAAGGCATAATTGAGCTAGCAGAGGGGCTAAGTGGGTTTATTGCTATTTACTTTTCATAAAAATAAAATTATTATGCAAAACTCTGAATTCTCTTTTTAACAAAGAAATTGAAGCCCCTTCCTCAGTGGAAATTTTAATATAGCATTAAGAGTTGAGGAGCTAAGCCTGCTTTTGATTTATACTTCTCTGCAGTATTAGTGCCATTACTTTTTCTTCTTATTTTTTACTTTTGTATAGAGGAGAAGAAGCCTAAAATCAAGAAACCAAAATCAGAATTCCCTGTATACACGGTTCTGGAGTCAAGCGCATATATACCATCGTATGATCATGGAGCTTCAATTGAAGAGATTGAGGAACAGATGGATGATTGGTTGGGAGGCAGGAACAGAACACAAAAAAAGAAGGTAAATTCCAAATCTTTCATGTTGCTATATATTTTAAATGTTGATTCATTTGCTTGCATCTTAAAAAAAAAAAAAAAAAAAAGGATATTGTATGTATACCACCACAATATTCATATACCATTGAAGTCTACAGAAGTATTAATTGTCGGGCAGAGATATAATGGAAAGATTATGTTGATGTTCAGTGTAATTTGTGTAATGATACTGAAAATGTTGTTATAATAGGATGTCATTGATTAAAATATATGAAAGCTCTCTCATTTCTAACATAAATACTATTCTTGTTCACTAGAAATTAGTAGAACATAATGCTGACAAGTTATATGAGGCTTGGTTCTTTTAATTGCAGGTAATAATATTTTGCTTGCAAGAATAGATCCTTCTCTAAAAAAAAAAAAAGGAAAAAAAAAGAGAAATCTTTGCTCCTTATTATCCAGGTGTAGTATCTTTTGATTATGGAACTACTTACGTACTTTGTGCGTTTCATCTGACTTATGGAAAAGTCCTAACAATTTTTTTTAGACTTATTGTTAAGGTTCTTTCTACTTAGGGGTAAAGGTTCTTAGTGGCAGTTCGTGTAATTGTCTTCTGGTAAATTTTATTAAAACATGCTGGCTTGAAAATGTATAGTTTTCATCTTAGAACTGAGATACATAGGTGACAGAAGAAATGTTTTAAATTGGTCTCCTGACTTGAAAATATTCCTTGCTTGGAAGACTGAGATGAGAAGAATTGTGTGTTTCTTGACTTCAGCATAAAAATAGTGAAAGGAATAAGTCTGATTCCTCCATGCTGCAGATTTGCTTACTCCTTAGTTGTTTTCAAGCCTGTGAAAAATACTGCCTCTCATTTTTAGTCAGACCTAGTCTTTTTACTGAAATAATTTGAACTTTGCGTAACTTGTTTAATTGTCTACCACTGTTGGATTCTTAAGATTCATGACTTTCCAGTTGTCAGTTTTTTCTTGCTGTTACTTTTGTCTTTCTATATTATTTAGTACATCTGCATTATGTTTACTTTTATATTTCTGTAACAAATCCATTTCGCAAATATGCTTAGCTTTTGACTTCTCTGTAAGGGATTGACACTCTGAATTCTAAAACACTAGAGCATATTTTCATGCACATAGAGAAAGTAAGAGCTCAGGTCCTTAATTCTATAGATGAGTTGCCTGGGAGTTAAGAGCATATGTACAATCATTGCTTTGTTTACCTTAATTCAAGAAGTGCCTGTGGATTGGATTCCTGCCAGTTACATCTCTGTGAACCAACTTTGCGGGCAAACGATTAAAGGAGAAAAGATGTATGTTTGTTTGCAGTAGCTTGGGCTGGTTGCATGCTTGACTATCTGGATCCCCAAATTCACCCTCCCCTCTGATGGAAATTGAGTCTTTCTTTGGATTTCTGTGCAAAGGAATTGAATAAGACAGGGCCTATTCCATCTATAATTTTGCACCTCCTACGCAGAGTATATAGAAGTTGTGTCTTCAGAGACTGCTGAGAGAACAAGTTGTAGGTACCTCCTTTCAGAAACACGGGTCACAGAAGTTAAAATGCACAAAGAACTGTTATTAAAAGATAAGTAACTTGATTCTCTACGCTTACGCCCAGAGGTTCAGTATTGCATCTCATCACTTTGATTAATGAGTTTATTTTTTGAATTATATTCTGTTGCAAATGCGCTTAACATTTTAGGAACAAGCAGGCAATTTGCAGGTATACTGTGTGGGTAAAGTGTTTGACCTGAACAAACTGTGATGAGGTGTGCTTCCTCTCCTTGACAGCTAATATATTACCACAATGCAACACTGACATTTAATACAGTAGTGGAGAGAAACAGATTCCTAAACCGTACAAAGAAATGGAGAATATATGTTACCAGCTCTAGCAGCTTGTAGGAGCCATTGTGCCAATATGAGAATGTCTGTGTCATATGATTTGTAATAAGCTCACTGGGGAAAATGGTTTTACCACAAGTGAATTGTTCCTAACTGTCACTTGACACATTTTCCATTTTAGCAAGATGTATTTTCCCCCACTACACATAATAGATGTGAACTGGGACGGCATCTCTCTTCTGCCTTCCTCTTCAGCTTCTTACATGGACGTGCAATAAACTGGTGTGTAACGTTCACCTCTGTTCTGCTTGTCTTATGGAAAAGTTACTCTTTCATAAATCATTTTGCCATCAGACTTTTTGCTGGGTTTGTCATGCTTCACTCATGAGAAAGCTTGTTAGTTGTGGGTTTTTTTTTTGTTCTTTCATGATAGCTCAGGGATACAGACTATGAACAGCCAACCAGGCTTGAGAGCAGTTATCCATGTGGTAAGATCAAAGTAGCTTGATAAAGTAGTGTGTTGCTATGTCATCCATTCAGAAATAAGGAAGTGGTGTTGCTCTCCCTGATGTTGGTATCCTGAGTGTAGATGATTACAATTCGTTTAATATTGTTCATTAGCTGCTTTGCACTGTTGACATTTGTACTTTAGGAGGTGCCTGTAATCCATAGACTAGTGTTTTGCAAGTACTGTACCATGCGGAGTGCCAGTTTGATAAAAATTTAGATTATGTTCAGTTGTTAGGTTGAAGTCAGTCCCTGTGATTCCATAATTTATTTTTTTTTAATATGTAATGATATTTGAATGCTTAGGTTTGTGTTTGGTTGGTTGGGGTTTTTTTTGGAGGCTGGTTTAATGGCTCATGCACTACAGTCCTGTAAGCTGTTCAGTAATGTCTCTTCCAGTTTGGAAGAGTACACTTGCACTCTTTGGAAGAGTGAATAAGGAAATCTAAGGTTATGAATTTAGATGCATCAAAGCTGTATAAAAGAAAAATTCAGATTTTTATTGTTTCATCTGCGACAGGAATCTGGATATTTTTCTGACATACTTATCTAGGAAGTAACATTATCATAGAGTAAATAGCTCTGTAAAGTAGATTTGCCAACATGGAGAAGCCATTATCTGACTCACCATTGTTTCATTAAACTTACATAAGAACTCTGCATTTTATTTGTAGAGCAAGAGTGTGGCTTTGGCACTGCAGAAAAACAAAATGGCAATTTTCTTCATAAAACAAGTATTACTAATTATTGATAATAAATGGAATTCTGTATTTTTAAAGCAAAAAGGATATTTGTGTTTCTGTCAAGGGTTTGATAGATCTAATATTGGTGGTTTCACAGGCCAGTGTCCTGGGCTTCAAAAAAAACCAAACAAACCACTTTTGTTTGATAGCCTAGAAAGGCATAAGTTGTTGCTGATCTTTTCAATATGTCTGATAAGTCAGGAGGTATAGGAATAGAGTGCAACTTGACAAAAGTTAAGCTGTTGGATATTGTAACCGAATAGAAGAAAAAGATAAATGTTGATGTAAAGAAATGGGTCAAGAGGAATTGGGCAGGTCGGAGTTAAGATTAATCATGATCTGGCAATAGCTTTGTAATAAAATGAGTAATTTACTTCAGTGTTTATTGAAGATGATCTTGAAAGTAAAGGCTTACGAAAATTGCTTGGAAATGAGAATTGCCATCTCTAATGGGAAGGTAAAGTTTTAATCTCAAATTCAGAAGACTTTGTAGGCTAGTCCTAGTAGAGCGGTATATCTAGTGTAGAGCAGACATTGTCCTTTTTAAGAAGGAAAAAAATACATGCAACTGTCACCCTATTAAGTGATCTAACTGTCAGTTCAAAATGAAATAGCAGCAATGTAATGATAAATGGAAAATAATATAAAATGCATTTTGGAGTACCAATGTGTGTGTTGGATTGATCTACTAATTTTTATTGATAGTTACTTAGAAACATTTGGGTTTTTTCTCTCCAGTGTCTGAATATGATATTCAAGAAGCTCTTAATGCACTGTTGATTATTGTTTCCATAGGGTTTAAATATTGAAGTAGATAAGGAACAGGCTATAGAGAAGAAAACAGCTTCCCTTTTAGGCAAGCTAAAATGACCTACCAAGGAATGTAGAAAGTAGTGTTTTCTGGTTTGTTTGTTTGTTTGTTTTTGGGGTTTTTTGTGTGTTTTTTTTGTTTGTTTTAATGAGGTTATATAGCTGGCTGAAAACGTGTAGCATAGTAAAGTTATTCTTCTGTCTTAGCCGGAGAACATACTAAGTTTATGTCCATAAGGGGCTTGTCTTGCCATGTTGTTACTTTCTACTTAGAACTGAATATTAGAAGAAAGTGAGCTATTGGTAGATAGTCAGATAATACTCAGGATTACAGAACTGAGACAATTTTTCTGCATTTCTCTGCATCAGTGATTCATCCACCTTTAGGACTTTTTGTACAGTTTTGCATTCTTCAGAAAGAAAGAAAAATTAACAGAAAGACTAGATTAGCAATAAAAAGAAATTTAGAAAATCATATTTATGAGGAAAGGTTAAATAGATGGAGTTTTAGACCAGAAGAGGGAAGCTGTTGGGGGAATGACTGGATGCATCATCTTTCCAGTCCATTCTGGGCTGTTTTAGGTAAAATCGTTTATCATTACATGTTACTTTTCATAAATTCAGAGAGAAAGAAATATTAAATTTAGTTTGCAGCCAAGGTGTTTAAATTCAGATTTGGGAACACATGTAGGGGGAGCCACATAACTAGACCATGTTACTTAGACCATTTATGAAACCTTTCTTTGGCCATCTATCCTGATCCTAAACTCTTCTGGTGAAATTTGTTTGAGCAGACTCAGTTGTATTTGAGAGCATGGAAATGAAGTAATGAGATTCTTCAGGGTTTTTCTTCCTATATAGGAAACTGTATACTTACCTAGCACTAAATTACATATTCATATAGCACTGTTTACACTATTCATGCAAACTGCATATGACTACAAACCTGATAGGAATTAGTAAATCTCATTCTCATGCTGATAACAAAGCTCTTCAAAGCAAGTACTGAAAAAATGTATTTTAAAAACTTTTTTTGTTTTGTCACTGAATGTTTGTACTCCCAGATTAGATCTGCTTTCAGGTTGTTAAGAGGAGATAAGTAG